AAAGGTTGTTAAGTTTAAAGTGATTCTGGAAATTCTGTGTACTAAAAAGTTGTATCAATAAAGAATAAACTAGTTTTAATTAAGAAAGGATTTGTGTCGCTGAAGTTCCTCGGAATAAATTTATACCGGAAATTAACAAACGAGCAGATACGTAACAACCTCCAGAAAGTTCTCTAAAGATCATTCTTGTTAGTTTGATTCATTACTTTTCATATATTAATTTTATTTTATGATAAATAAACGTGGGTGATGTTAACACTGATTAGCTGTTTGCCTCTTTAGGTAGATTATTAGTAACACATATATTCTGAAAGGTATTACTTGTATATAAAAGTTAAGGGATGTGTTAAACGGCGATGTTATGGATTTGGCATTCGTACCATACCTTAAGTTTATAATTAAGTTAATATTCAAAAACTTTGGTTCAGCTACTTTCAAAAGTAGGACGTGTATGTCATTTGTTGCTACTGGTACTGTTGCTGTGGGCTTTCATTGGGAGGTCATTTGTGTAATGTGAAATTCATAATTAAAGTATGAAACTAATTCCATGCCTGAATGGAACAACAATATATAGTTTTTTAGTATGGTAATAAATCCTTCAACGTTTTTATCAAACATCTAAAACCCAACTGTGGGACAGAAATGAGACAACTGATATAGTGAAAGATCAGTACCTAATATAACATGAAGAACTAATATTATTCTATAACTAATTACTGATATGTTTTAGCCAAATGAGAACAATTGATCTGGACAGTTTGGGTTTTTCGTTAACCCATGTTGCTGTCTCATCTTGTTCATATCCCACTTAACTTTACATAATAATTAAAACTGTTTTTCTTCGTTTTAATGCAATTTTGTTATACGTTCTAAAACTTAATTTAAAAACAAAAAATGCACAATTAAATATTTAATTCTACTGTATGTGTTACATACATCGTTTGGCTGATGAGCCGAAGCATATGTTAACTAAATTATTAATGAAACGGAGCACTGTTTTAGAGATGATATACAGTCTTTGTCGTTACTTCATCACACTTCCATGTTTAATGCAAAATGGCGAAAGAAATAGGAAAAATAATGTTACGTTTTGAAAAGTTTTTATTTTATTAATCTAGATCTGTATGTTTTATATGACGTCTCTTACATTTGTTAAGGTTTACTTGACTAGTGTTTTCGAGAAGCGGAGCTACTTTATAATGCTAGTTTTTTTCTATGGTAATTACATATATATATTTAAGAGTTTCAGTATGCCTGACCGAAATTAGTGATACATTATTAGGCGTCTAAGTTTGACCTCGAGTTATTTAATGAGGTAAGAAGTATTGTGTTTAGACGTGGCGTGTTTTATGAATAAGGACACTGATAATGAAAATTGGTTTTATACACTGTTCAGCCCCCCAGTGGCACAGCGGTATGTATGCGGACTTACAACGCTAGAATCCGGGTTTCGATACCCGTGGTGGGCAGAGCACAGATAGCCCATTGTGTAGCTTTGTGCTTAATTTCAAATAAATAAATACACTGTTCAACAGTGGTCTTTCATCGTACAGTACAGAAACACAAAAATCAAAATTGAGAACAAGTATTAGTGATAAATGATAGTGTTATTTTTCCCTTGTCACTAAAGCTAGTTATTAATTGTTTTTATGTTATAATGGTTGTTCATTTATTATGATATTATGTTTTCCGCTTAACCTTGTATTTTGTCTTTCAAAACGTATCTTTCTTTACAACTCGAGTATTGTTTGAAGGCTATTTAATAAAGGAAACCATACAAAAATTTGATTTTCGTTTCGTTTAACGTGTTTGAGTATACATCTTTCACTCTGGTCCTTTCCGTTTCGGTGTACAATATTAGCATGTTTGAATGCATATCTTTATCTCTGATCCTTTCCGTTTCGTTTTACAATATTAGCATGTTCTTATGCGTATTTTTGTCTCTGGTCCGTTCCGTTTCGGTTTACAATATTAGCATGTTTGAATGTATATCTTTATCTCTGACCCTTTCCGTTTCGTTTTACAATATTAGCATGTTTGAATGCATATCTTTATCTCTGATCCTTTCCGTTTCGGTTTACAATCTTAGCATGTTTGAATGCGTATCTTTCTCTTCGATCCTTCACTTTTGCTTTACAAGTATTGATGTATTTGAGTACTTTTCTATCGCTTTGTATTGTCACATTTTTCCTTGGACCATCCGATCAATTGTTTTCCCTCTTCTCAGATAGTTTTATTTCATTTGTGTTGTTAATGCTCCTATAGAACTTATCAATGGTACATATTTCTACTTTGTGCACTCACTTCCTATATATTATTTTTGCAAATTTCGAAATAAAATAGACTAACACACTAAGAGAAAAAATACGCCAGGTTCGACACATTCCTCAATAATTTAGTGCTTGGATTTTTGTTCCGTTTTCATTTTTGTTTGATTGTGAATCTTCTGCAAAAGCTGGTGCTATATGTATATATGTTCATCTTAAATTGTATAAAATCAGAGAAAAACTGTGAGAAAATAAAACCTTTTCACCTTTTTTTCATTAATGTAAATATCGAAGAAGCTTCTATTTATTGAAACCTTCACAACCTAAATACGCCAATTGTAAGTCAACAAAAATGTTTTTATAATGTTTTGTGCTAAGGAATCTTAAACTTAATCAGTGAGCTTAACGAAATCTGACTTAAGTCAATAATACTGTGTATTGCGAAAGGATCCAGTAATCATCTGAGATCAAACTTATTATACCACGTTCTGCAGATAAAAAAAACATACATCAAAGTAAGCCTAAAACGTCTCATTCAGTTATGTTGGATTTGTTTTTCTCGTACTTTCAGACTAATGCAGGTACAGCAACACGAGTTTGTTAGTAATTGGAGCTTAAAGAAACGGTTTACTTTATTTCGAGTCAGCTCACTTAGACTGCGAAACTCGGGTAATCCTATTGCTATGGCATTGATCTGTAAAAACAATGAAAAGTAGTTAAACGCGCTATACCCGAATCTGGCACAAAAACTTCTACACGACCCTTTAATTATGAGATAATGTCCGTGTAGCCTGGCTTTAACTTACGTGCGCGTGCTAATCATCCATAAACAGGTTAAACTATCAAGCTGCTGATTGCACCTCTATTAATGATAGGTTCTTTTATTGTCCCAATAAGAAGTGGATAATCTGGTCTACTTTCCTAATAATAAAACTGCCCTGATGATGACATACTCAACCATCGTGTGTGCATTAACAACCAGAATATCTCGTATGGTGTGTAGTCTTTTACTTCTAGAAATCTGTTAAGAGTGTGTTGAACGATGTGATCGATTGGTGTTTGTTTTGAAAGTTTTCTTTCGCTCGAGACGAATTGACGCACACGCGTCTAACATTCGTTTCG